ATCGGTTGGAAAAATTTTAATCGGAAATCAAAACCGGATACGGTACGATTGTTTTTTTTTTAAAAAACGAATATACCCGAATATCACCGAGCGAAAAAAAATTCGTCACGTTGCACAATACGTTCATGTTTTTTTTTATATTAAAATTAACGTTAGGAAATAATATTTTATCCTAAGGGGAAAATTTTTTAAATAAAATTATGAAATTTTTACATCATTTTGCTACCTCTTAATTCAAACGATTGATAATAATAGCAAAAGTAGTAGATAGGTTGGTAGGTAGGTTGGTAGGCAGGTAGGTTGGCAACCTGCTAACGATAATAAAATAACCTCAAGAAATAATTTTTAGTCCTTCAAAAATAATTTTTTAATTAATTTAAAAAGCTCAAATCGAAAGTTTTACGGAGAAAAAAAAGGGGGGGAGGGGAGAAGAGGTTAATAATTTGCCAAAGTTGAAAAGGTCATAAGGTTATAAGGTTTATTGTTTAACGAATGGTAGACACATTCTCATCATTGTCGTTCTTATGAGAAGCCCCTCAAACACGAATCCCCCCTCCCCCCGGGAAACTCTTATAAAAATTTACGTAATAATTTTTATTTCGAACTCGAGAGAGAGAGAGAGAGATGGAGGAAAGAAAGAAAGAAAGAAAGAAAGAAAGAAGGAAAGATAAGAATGAAGGAAGGAAGGAAAGAAAAAAATTACAATTGAAAATTTTTTCTCATCCCATTGTGTTCATATCGTAAGAAAAAAATTTTTTTTTTTTTTTTTCCTATTTAAAAACAATTGAATAATTTACATCAGTCTCCTCGACTTCCGCCATTTTAAAAAATTGGGAAAATCGTGATTTAATAAAAAAATTTACGGCTCACGATATCTTTAACACACACACACTCACTCGAAAATAAAAAAAAAAAAATTTCTTCTTATCAGGTCATATCAATTTATGGTCAAAGGCGAAAAACCGCATAATGAAATTTATATAATAATAATAATAATAATAATAATAATTTATTTCATCCTGAGAAATTTTTTTTTTTGAAGGACCCGAGTACATGTTTACGAATATGGAAAAAAAATAATTTTTTTTACCCAGAATTGGAATTATCCGGAGGGGGAGAGAGAAGGGGAGGGGAGGGGGTAGGGGAGGGACGGCCGATTAGGTTTAAAAACAAAAATATCGAAAAATTTGAATTTTCCTTTAACGGTATTTACACGCACGTTAAATAAATATTACCGTTAAAAAAAATTTAAATATTTTAATTAATAAATTATTGCCAATAGGAAAGAGAGAGAGAGAGAGAGAGAGAGAGAGAGAGAGAGAGAAAGGGAGAGATAGAGAGAAAGAGAGAGAGAGAGAGAAGTAATAAATAGTAAAAACGCATAAAAAAAAACGTATACATATATATATATATATATATATATATATATAAATTAAAATAAACATGGTAGTTTTATCGTGGGAAGATGTTTCTTTTTTTTTTTCGGGTACGAAAAAAATTTATCGGGTCATTAGAATCACTCTCATGGTCTTTCTTGACCACTGACATAATCAAATATCACGATCGTCTGGAGGCTATTGCAAAGAGTTTAAAGCGATGTCTCTCTCTCTCTCTCTCTCTCTCTCTCTCACGCAAACTCATATCATGAATTTTATCTGTCCCAGAGAAAAATATAAATAAAAAAAAAGTCGCGCGCGTTTTTTTTTTTTTTTTTTTAAATCTTATTACGCGCGTTGTGCGTACGCAAAAATACGCAATTTTATATTTTATCTTAGGAAAAATAAAAAAATTCTCACGCGATCATTTTAGGATAATTAATTTTATATGACGACGATATATTAACCGAAGGTAAATGACTTGTCGCCTTAAATATCCTCCGATACGAAATTAAACGTGGAAGAAGACAAATCAAACCACGTGTTATATTAATAATAATAATAAACCGTCCTCCGCATAAAAAAAAAATCAAAAAAAATCATTGGTTACATACGAAAAAAAAATCTACCGCCATTTTGTTTTTTTAAATAATTAATTAATTACCCAAGTAATAAAAATACGTTTTTTAAGAGTAATAATTTTTTTACAAGGGCGTACAAAAATTTTTATCTTTTATTTCCAGAAGCTTCTCTGGCATTTTTTTTTAACATTTTAATTACCGGATAGAATTTACATTAAAAAAACTTGTAAACATTTTTTTTTAATGATAAAAAATCCATACGCGTTTATACGTCATTTTCGCAACCCCGTTGTTAATTTATAGATATTAATAATAATAATAATAATAGTAATAATTTATCAAGTTAATAATTACGTTCGCGATTGCATGAGCATCCTATTTACGAGATGTGAGTTAAAAAAAAAAAAAAAAAAAATTAACGCCGATAATTAACCAACCGCCGTGATAATAATGATAATAATTTTCTATTTTTTCCAAAAGTTTGAATTTGACAGTTTTTTTTTTACTCTTTATATAAAAATGAAAATTTAAAGGATTGGAAAATGTCTTTAATTAACCCTCATCGACCCATGATGATGATGATGTATAAAAATAATGGAAGAAATCGACGTCGTGGAAGGAGATATATAAATAAATATTCAATGTGGCGCGGAAAGGGAAAGGAGTGGTAAATAAAAAGAACAAGTTAGTCAAGTTTTTTTTTTTACCCATCACCATCATCATCATCATTATCATCATCTGGTTTTGCGCAAAATAACCGTCGTGTCAAGGTTGTTGAGTTCGTATTTACGAAAAAAAAAAAAACTTTGTGTGTATTTCCCACATACTAAAGGATTTCCGGAGAGAGAGAGAGAGAGAGAGAGAAAACAACGTAAAACTATTTAAATGTAAAAAAAACTTTTTTAGAAGAAAATAAAAAGGGAAAATAAGAAAAGTGATGCGTGTGTCGTGGTACGTGCATGCGTGAGTTTGTGCGTGGCAGAAGAATAAGAATTTCTATATGGAAAAAAAAGAAAACTCGGCGTCCTTTAATAATTACGTCTTCGCAATGGAATTTGATATTTAAAAAAAAAAATTTGATTAATCAATTTACGGGAGCCGAAAGTAATTAATTACTATTTGCTTCTGGTAATAAAACTTCCAAAAAAATAAAAAAATATAAGAAGAGGCGTTGATCAATCAAAAAAAAAAAAAAAAACATAAAACAATGGAAGACAATAAAAAAAAAAAAAGGATCAAACGATTGTTTACGATTCGTTCTCCAGACGAATGAATAACGAAAAAAACCGGGGAGATAAACTGGAAATTAATAATAATAATAAACGGACGTTTATGAAAATGGAAAACAATAGAAAAACGATGGTAAAATTTCAAAATAACAAAAAAAAAAATTTCAAAATTATCGACAAGAATTCGTCTGTCTCGAAACCCAAAGGCCAAATAATGATTAATGAAAAAATAAAAGAACGTTCTAGAACATGATAATAATAATAATAAAAAAAAGGTCACTTATCTAAAAAGTTAGGGAAAACTCAAATGAATTTTTACGTGGACAGTCATTCATCGATAAATGATTTATAGGGGGAGGGGGAGGAAAAAAAATTCCCTTTTTTTTTCAAAAGCAAAATCATTAAATGGAGCAAAATCCTTAATTAAAGCAAAAAACCCGAAAACAAGTTTGCGAAGGTCAAAATCTCATCCAGAAATGTTAGATTTAATTATAAAAGGAAATTTTTCAAATTTTTTTCATCTTAACAAAAAAAGCCCGAAGGCGGGGGAGGGGGGAGGGGGGGGGAAAATTCCATATTTGATGATTATAACGAATAATAGTAGCAAAATTCTTACCTTATTGAATCGAAGGCCCCTCAATCTTGAATTCAAAAAAAAAGAATTTTCTCTCCATCAATTTCCCCGAATCAGCATCTGAAAAAAAAAATTCCGCCATATTTAATTTGAAACGACCGTTAATGAGTTTTCATTAAAAAAAAAAAACAAAAAATTCGTCTTTAACGATTTCTTTTCGTCTAGGTCAGTCACGATTCAAAGTCATTTTTTACTTTTTCATATTGAGCAATGATGATCGATCATTGAATAAAAAAAAATAATAATAATAAAAGCAGAAGAGAAATAAGAAAAGAAAATGGACGAAGGATGATATAAAACAAAATAAGAAAAGGTCAAATTTACAAACGCGAATAATAATAACAATACAAATCAATTAAATAAATATTTGAAAAAAATTATTACGCAAAATAATAAAATTTTACAAGTGCGTGCGTGCGTGCACGTGTGCGTGTACGTGTACGCATCACATCGGTCCTGATTTTACACGTATAACATTGTGTCAACCGATTGTAAACAACAAACGATTTAATCATCCATTTAATCCGACTGGTTAAATATCGGATTTTCCTGTTGTTTGTTTGTTTGTTGTTTAAGAACAAACGTTATACGTAAAACAAACGATTTTGTGTGTATGTGTGTGTGTGTGTGATAAGACAATTTATTACGTAATTTTACTTACTTTTTATAACGAATTTAATGTTCATTTCGTGATTATTTAACCAAACGTAACAAGACTCAAGGGGTTACACATTTACTCGAAAGGTTTCCCTATTTAAATATACCTCTTCTTCTTCTTCTCATCATATATATTATTTAATGATTAAATTGTGCCGAACCGGATTGAAAGAATCCTTTGGAAAAATAATTTTTTTAGGTCGGCCATTGACCTCTGAAACAAAAAATAAAACACGTTGTGAGACGCTTTTGAACTTTTTAAAAAATAAAATAAGGCACGAATGTTTGAACCTTTAGGGGTTTTACAAAAAAAAAAAAAAAGGTCATTAAGGGTGTTAATAAGTTTCACTGTTGGTGCGTAAACCTTTTTTTTTTTTTACCGTTATATTACTCGTGTAAAAATAAAAGGTAAAGGTTAAAAAAAATTTTCATTGGAATTTTTAAACCAATCATCATCATCATCATTATGGGTTTGGTCAAGTATGAGACAAATAAGTTGTTGTTTTGAGTATTGTTGTCGTTAATGGTAATAATATTAAAAAAGAATCTCAAGGACGATAACGATGACGTCAGAATAATGACAGATAAGGTCGTTTAAGAGCAGGGTGTGTGGAAAAGTACGGATTTAGGTCTTTGATCGGTATGTTACCTTTGTTTCCGGTTGATTAACCTGCCAGAGAGAGAGAGAGAGAGAGATCCTGGAAGGACGTTTTTTTTCTTAATTTTTCCAAATTTTTTTCTTTTTTTTTTGTAGCAATTTGGACTTTATTATTTATTCAAAATGGTGTCCAGCTGTCGAAGGCACTCACAGCACGTCAACCTGGAGTAAGTTAAAATACATATATATGTAATTTACAATTACAAATTTCAATTATTATTATTATTATTAAAAAACAAATATCTTTTGCAATAATTTTTAGTACCTTGATTTCGACAACCTTCCAGAAACAAATTTCACTTGCGAGGGTAAAGTCATCGGAGGTTACTACGCCGACATTGAAACTGGATGTCAAATGTTTCATGTTTGCACAATCGGACAAAAGGGTAAGTAAATATGTTTTCTAATGTTTTTTATAATGACTTTTACGCTGAAATTTGATATCTGACTATTTCCAGGTGATATGACAGATATAAAATTTTTATGCCTTAATGGTACGGTATTTGATCAAGAGACTCGAGTGTGTGAAAGAGTTGATGAAGTGGACTGCAGCAAGAGTAAAGACTTTTACGACCTCAACCTTGACCTTTATAATAATGGATTTGCGTAAGTTTAATTACCTTTTCTTTTTCTAATAATGATGATGATAGATTTGTGATATTTTTTTTTTTTTTTTTAAATTTTAGATTGCCTGAAGATGATAATAATAACGAATCACAAAAATCATCTCAAGAAAATGTTGAACTAGAGGAAGAATTATACGATGAAAATTACGATTCTGATACTGAAGAATCACCAGAAACGTCTTCGAAAAGTCCTACAAGTACTACGTCGACGACCACTTCAACAACTACAACGACAACGTCTACGACTACTTCAAGACCTATCGTTTACAGTTCTATTAAACCTGCGTTTAATATTATTTTGCCAAATTTGAAAAACAAAAATACCGGAAGTCATTTATCAGGTATAATTACAACGACGATACAAAATAAAAATGTCGGTAATTTAATTGGAAGCACTACTATTTCACCACCGCATCAGCAACAACAACAACAACAGCAGCAACAGCACGTACATTTTCCCCCTAAGGAACTAGACTCAAACGGACAAATTTTAACCGGGTTATTGCCAAACAAAAATATTCAGTTTACTCAAACCCAAAGACCGTCGTTTGGATATGTCACTCCTCAAAATTTTAACGGGGATCAATACAACAAACAAAATCAAAATATAGATGCGGGAGGATTTAAGCAACCTTCGACGAGCTTAAGACCTTTTTCATCTCCTGCTCCTCCGAGCACGTACAAACCACCACCACCACCGCCTGTTTACGATCCTTTTAAAAATCATTTTTTTTCAAGTACTCCAACACCTTTAACTCCTATTTTTATAAATAATTACAATCAGAAACCGCAAAGCCTTGAAGAGATCCGCCCATCTGAAGAACCAAAGCGTCCCGTCGTTGTACTCACTCATCATTTTCCTACGATAAGTCCTCCAAAATCAAATTACGACGACTTTTCCGGGTTTTCCAATCTAGGCACTACTGTTATTCACCCTTACATCCGACAGAAAAACCGACATGTTAACGTAAAGACGCATCCGAAAACTCCGCAGCACCCGTACTTGCAGCAAATACAACACCACAACCAGCACCATTCGCACCACAATCAGCATAAAGCTAACCCCACCATATTAGCATTGCAATCGCAACAGCAAAAAGTTCATAGACTGCACCAAGAAGGTTTAGAAATAGCGGAGCATCAAATAGCGCAAATAGCTTCGAGAGATGCTGAAATTTCAAATTTAAGAAGTCAACAAGGTGAAGATAACGAAAATGGTGATGGTTTCGAACCTCAACCATCTCACAGAGCTGCGAAAGAAATTCGCACGGGGGATGTTCAAAGTTTTGGAAAACCTTCGATTGCGATCGTGACTTCAACGAGTAGTACTTCTAGTCGAGTACAAAAACCTACTGTAATAACCGTACAGTCGGTTTCCTCAGCGAGTGGAAAACCCGTCGTAAATCGTTTAGATTATAAACCCGAACCCGAATACAAATCAGAATTAGAAAAATTATTTTCAAATACCGAAGTGCCAAAAAAAGAAGAACGTGAATCCGATCCGGACATGGATTTAGAACAATTACTCTTGGCTTGGAAACTTAAAACAAATCAAGAGGTAACCAAGGATGATATTGAAAAAGTTTTCGCAAGATTAGATACGTCAAAATTTAAAAATGGTCAAACTATAAGTTTAAGCGACATATTTAATTTTATGAATAACGAAAGCGAAGAAATGGAAGAAGAAACGACGAGAGTTCCACCGATGAGTTACGACGAGTACACGGAAGAAGATGTACCTTACGATCCTTTTTATAAAGACGTACCAAAAGTTTCGGATGGTGAAAGACAAAAAAGAGACGTCGAATTTAATTTAAAAGTGCTTTCAGAACCGTATGAAAGTGAAATTATACAAAACGATGACAAATCCGAATTGTTTAGAACATTTGAATCGAGTGGAATTAATACGCGTTTTAAAGAACGTCGAAAAAATGATGATATTTCAACACGATCATCGAATAGTAGCAAACGAGTGTCGGTAGAAAATTTATTTGAAGAAACCACCGTGGCAAGACCTTTTCCAGAAACTTCATTTTCTTGTGATAGTAAAATTCCAGGTGGATATTATGCGGACGTCGAAGCAGACTGCACGTTGTTTCACATTTGCTCAGATTCTGGAAATGGAAGGTAAGTTAGTAGTTGTTGAAACTAACATCTAAATCAATTGCACAATGTCAGTAATAAATATAAGAAAAAAAAAAAAAAACAATTACTAGATTCCAGCACACATTTTTTTCATTTTTAATGCTTTTTTCAAATATCAACAAGTTGAAGTTATTATTATTATTTTTTCAAACCAATGGTATGAAAAGCAATTAAAATTTGAAAGTTTTCATCATTCTCTCTCTCTTTTTTTGTTTAATTTTATTTCAATTATTATTATTATACCTATTTTTTAAAGTCATACTTGTGATTAAAAAGGGGCGTTGTCAAATATTTTATAATAATGTTACCTTGAGTAAGTCTCGTTATGAAAAATGATCGTAAATCTGGTTGACAAAAACAAAAATTCGTGACAATTTTACTAACGTGACAACCACACCATACTTCAAATCAATCTAATTGAATTCGCTGTAAGAATTGTTTTTTAATGTCCAATCGTTCGTTTACTTCCTTTAAATTTAAATCTTGAAATAAATAAATAAATAATTTTATTATTTACGAACGAGTTGTATTAAAAGAGAAGGGATACGAACAAGAGGAAACGAACGACAATAAGAATTCGTGAAGAACACCAACAAAAAAAATCAGGTTAAAAGTAAAAGAGAAAAAATTTAATTATTATTTTTTTTTTTTTTTGTAAATTTTTGTTTTCTTTTACCTTTTCCAAACCGACGTTATTACATTCCATAATTTTTATTATTGTAACGCCCAGAAAAAAAAAAAAAATTTGTTTCCTACTTCTTCTCTGCTTTTATAGAATTCCAATATCAATTAATGCAATAAACTCTGTAAACAAATAATTTAAATATTAATGTTAGGCAACAAATAATAATAAATTAACGTTTGATTTAAATATATATATCAAAGGTACTAACAATCATTTATTATTATTTTATTCTTTTCTTTAAATTATTCAAAAAATTTTTTTATTTCCGGGGTCGAGGTTGGTTTCAAACGACGATGAAGAACTCATTATTATTATTATTATTTGATTGCATCATTCATAATGAATTCAAATTCAATTTTAAATTAAATATAATTTCAAAATATACTTACATTAAATCATATAATGTAGTATATATACAAATATATATATTGTTTCGAAAATATTCTAGAAATTTCATTTGTAAAAAAAAAAAAAAAAACTTTCTCGTTGCAGAATTTTTCAAGATTATGGAATGTGACGTCACGACGTCTCTGTCAATTAACAAAAATTTTTTTTTTTTTTTTTCAATTACGTTTTAAAACGTTTATCAAAAGTAAAGAAAAAACAAAAATTAACACATTTGCATTTTTAGCTTTTTTATATCAGCTTAGATAAATTTCTTATCTTAATTTTTTTCGATGTCTTTCAAAAAAAAAAAAAAAAAAAAAAATGCTTACCATGCATAAAATATAAAACCTCCAACGAATTTTTATAAAGCTCTGCCGAGAGTGCGTTCAGAAATTGTTTTTTTCCCCCGATCTCCTATTGGCTGAAATAAAAAAGAAGACAAAAAAACAGTTCAAACACATAAGAACGGTAAAAACGTTACATAAAAATAAATTGAATTTAATACATTTTTATTATAAAAAATAATAATAATAATTCGTAAGGTTGATGTGTCTTTTTTTTACATTTTTATTAGTTGATTATAAGTTTGTTCGAATAATTTTAATAAATCAAGGAGAAAACATTCAATGTGTGCAATTACATCCTGTTAGATCATCTAAATGTAGCATTTAATAATACCCGTAAATAATTCGTCCTTAACTTGTTTCTTTTTTTTTTTTTTTTGTGAGCCTGAAAAAATAAGTTAACGTTTTAAGAAAAAAAAAAAAAAAAGTGAATGCAATGGCGATGTTATCATTAAAAAAAAAATTTACCGTATAATTACAACCGGATCGAAAAACTAAAATACTAATTTATATTATTAAATTTAAGTAATAAAATCTTGTTAAAATGCCAATACTATAAAATTTGTCATTTAAATTTAATCGATAACTATTATTTAATATTATTATTATTATAATTATACTCAATAACATGAAACGTTTCGTTTTGATACTATCAGAAAATGAAAAAAAAAATTTTTTTTTCTCTTAATAAACGATATGAATTATATAAAAAAAAATTTAACGATTTCACGAAATCACGATCTTAAATTAAAAATATATCAATTTTAATTTAAAAAAAAAAAAAAAACTTATGTAATTAAAAACGTAATAAAAAAAATTTTACGAGTAATAAATATATGACAATAATTAAAAAAAAAAAAACCGTTAAGGAACATTCCAGAACACACCATTACAAATTTATAATAGACCGGTAAAATAATAATTACACTACTCGAATACATTATTAATTTTGTAAAAGTTTTCATATTAATAATTGATCGATTATTTCATATAAATTATAAAACAAACACTAATAAAAATAAAAATTAATATTAATATCGTTTATCGAAAAATTAAACGACTGGATTGTAAAACTGACGCAGAGGAATGGCTGCAGCACGTTCAGAAATTAAAACTTATAATTTTCGACAATAAAATAATTGGACCAATCAGATCGCGTTTTACATTCAGGAATAACGAGACAGGTGAAATTTCTGAATGTGACTCATCAAACGCATCAAATTGTCAATCAAATCAAAACATTTTAATCAAATAAATTTTTAACGGATTTTAATTATTATTATTTAAAGATTACGCGGTGAAGAAAAATAATAAATAATAATAATAATTTTTTTTTACATCATTTACAGGTTGGAAAATCATAAATTTTTCTGCGGAGTCGGAACAAAATTCAATCAAAAACGAAGAATTTGCCAAGATGAAAAAACAGTCGATTGCAAATCTTCAGAAAAATATTATTATTTAAATAAAAATTTTTTTACAATACCTGAAATAAAAGAAGAAACAAAAATACAAGAATTCGAATCGTTGAAAATAAAACAATGATAATAATAATCGGATTCATATAAAAAAAAACCTTATTTGGATAACTGTATAAGAAAAAAAATTAAAAATATTAAAAGAGGTCAAAAAAAAATTTTTTTTTTTTTTTTTTCAAATAACTTTTAACCAAATAATAATAATTATTATTATCATTACTATTATTATTATTAAGATTTAAAGTTATTCAAAATAAATATTTAAAAAAAAAATGCCTCTTTTTAAAATTTTAAAAAATTTTCATTTTCATTTTCAAACAACTTATACACTTTTCCATAAGGTTTTTTTTTTCAATTTCATTATTTTGTAATATTTTATTAATTATAATAAATAAATAAAATCTTACAAAATATGATAGAAACTAATAATAATAATAATTATAAATAAAAATATGGAAAATTTCTTTTTGTTATTAAAATGCATGTCAATCAATCAATCAATCAATCAATCAATCAATAAAAAAAAAATTAAATAAATTACATTCGTGATATATATATACAGTTTGATTTTCTTTTTTTTTATTCCTCTTTCTCTCTCTCATTAAAATTTTTTAATTTTATTCATTAATAATAATAATAATAGTTATAATAATAATGATAATTATGATTTCCTTAAGGGTATAATACAATCCAAAAAAATTTTCTTTCTTTCTTTCATTTTAAACAAACAAAATAAATTGATTTTTTTTTTTTTTTTTTACTGTTTGTAATTTATTTATAATCATAAAACAATCCACGTGACATATTTAAATTATTATTATTATTATTTTACAACGGTTTTTAATTACGTAATAGTTTTTTTTTTTTTTTTGCAAAGTCAGTAATAATTACATAAATGATAATAATAAGTGGAAACGTACGTTAATGAAAGTATAAAATTATTTTATAAACGTGATAAAAAGTATCATTATTATTATTATTATTATTATTATTAAATCGATGACGAAAAATTTTTACGGTTTTTAATTAAAAAAAAAAAAAAGATATATCCAAATAATTTTCCCGCCAAAAATATTTTAAAAACTTTTTTCACTTACCTGAAAAAAATTATTAAATATGGCGGCCGACGGATGAAACTCGTCTTCCTTTCTCTTTACTTTTAAATTCTGTTAAATAAATCGAAAGTTATGATAATTTTACTAAACAAACAAACCGGAAATAAATAAAAAGTAAAACGAATTCGTTTAAATATTAATATTAATTCGATAATAATAAAAAAAAAAAAATTCAAATTTTGTGTTAATTTTAAAATTTAGCGGGAAAATCCGACGGCAAACGCGTAAAACAAACAAAAACCTAAAAATTAATCGATAGGATATCAATATTTATAAAAAATTTATAATAATATCATCATTATTATCATTCTCATTATTATTATTATTAATTAATTTTAAATAAAATAATTTTAGATTTTTTTTTTTGAAAAATATTTAATTGATTTTTTTTTTGTTGAATTCTTTCACAAATATTACAATAATTATTTATTTATTTAATTTTATTATTATTATTATTATCATTATCATTATCATTATTATTATTATTATTATATTTAAACGAAAGCGATTCGAGCAAGTAAATTATACAAAAAAAAAATTAAAAAAAAATGAAAAAGAAAGCAATGAATCAACTACTTCTTAAGC